TCAACTATATTTTCAAAGATAACATGATGAAGAAATAAAATGCCCTATGAAATGTATCCTAAAAGAACACAACTTTGTGAATACAAATTTGCAGATGGATATCCAAAAGATATTGCTTTAGAGTTCTAATTAATACACTGTAGGCTTTTTTAAAAATTCATTATTTTCCACGAGTACATCATTATACACTGTTCCCTCTGTTTTCATAAGTCCCCATTATTACAAGGGTCATATTCAGACCTGAGTTGCTCTTATTCTGTGCAGTCTCAAAGACTATGCTGGACAGAGCATGAAAATTCTTGAATGAAGCCTACTATACACAACAAGAAACTAATTCATTTTTGCAGTGAGTGGATCTCTGGACGACACTATACATTGTTTAAAATGTATCTTGCTGATTTTTAACAAGGAACAAATTACAGAAAAATCTAATGTTGGGTTTTTTTTAAATGAAAAAAATAATATTTTGAAACAAAACAAAATAAAAACTGCTTTATCTTTCAAAGCCAGAAGTGTAGAGTTAGCGGCATAGTGGCTGACCCCAGTTTTCAGTATATTCTCCGCTCTAAGGACATTGACAGGAAATGGTCAGCCTGGAGATACAATGAAAGGAAACTCAGCAGTGAAGGTTTCACTGATAACATGTGATTTGAAGTCAGTGAACGGACCTAACAGTCATTCACTCACTCAGGCCAAAGCATATAATAACCCAAAGGCCCCATTAAAATCTTGTCATAAAAGCACAGGGAGGATGGTACTTGACACAGAAGGCAGGGCATAATATTTTCCTACGAATAAGTAGGCTGCAATAACTGATATCAATATTCAGATATTGTTTCACAAACTTCTGTTTATCTAATCTATATTTGTCCTTAAATTCCTTCTCTTATACAATAAAAGGTGACTGATTTTTAAAGTCAGCTCCTTTGTAATAAAACTTTGACTCACCAGAACACAAGCTCTATTCTTTCTTAACTCCTACTACCTCTCTCCACTGTCACTGTTTTCCCCTTTTTCTTAGGTGAATAGCTGTTCTTAGTCAACAAAATCACCAAAATCCCATGTTTTATTTTTATAATTTTATTTTCTTTAATGGAGTATGCATTTGATCAATCATTTAGCTTTTTCTTATATCAGTAACTGCACTGAACTAACACTACAGAGGGGGTAACACTCTTGTTCCTGCACAAAGCATGCCATCTTGCCCCCTCCACAACTTAGATTTTTTGTCCTATCTTCTCTTCATGGTATTTTTTCATAGTATTTTTTATTACTTTCTTTGGTACCAGGTTGTCAGCCTAATAAGATGTGAGGGACTAAGAGTTTGAATTCTCATATATGTGTGTTTGCTGTTGGCTACCTGGCTCAATACTTGTAGTTTATTTCTGGGACCTTAGAGAGTAAAAAGGGAAATTCATCAAACTGTGGATAAAATAACAGAAAACAAATGTTGGGTGGCAACTGGAAGACTTCCATTGAGTAAGTTCTAGTACTTAGATTTTCATAACATGCTTTTATTATTCAAACTTCTCTCTTTTGCAGAATTCCAAGTTTTTAATTCTTTTAAGTAGGCAGGAATGAGGTGTAAAGTTACTCTTAGTTAGGTAAAGTCTTTTGTATCTGTGACTTACAGTAAAGAGCAGTACCATCCAATGGAAATATATTGTGAGTCATGTATTTAATTGTAAATTTTCTAACAGACCCAATAAAAAAGTAAAAAGAAACAGGTGGAATTAATTTTAGTAATATATTTTACTTAAGCCAATATATCCAAAATATCATTTCAACATCTAAAAATTATTGAGGTTTTTTTTACTCTTTTTTTCATACTAAGTCTTTGAAATCCCATGCACAATTTATACATGCAGCATATCTCAATTTTGATTAGCCATCTTTCAACTGTTCAATAATCACACGTTGCTGGTTGGCTATCATTTTGGACTGCACAGTATGGAGGATTTTCTTCCTTTAATCTCTAGGTCTCTGTGGGTCTAATCAATCAATAGCCTTTGTGAAAAACTTTGAGGGGTTTAATGGAAAGTCATTCTATTTAAACAGGCCTTGTTTACCTCTATCTCCCAAGGTTAGATTTTTCTATTTAATAATATCTGACGTGGCTCTTAAAGTCAGCACTTCATAAAAACGTCCCAAGGATTAATGAAGAATGGCCGAATTCACTCTCCACGGATGTTAATTATAATTTATAATGCATATTTATATGCAATCCATTTCCCTAACAAATCTTAGTGGTGCATTTCCAATGTGACAGGCTGAAGGGTAGAGACATGAAAACTTGCAAAACCAGACAGTTTCTGCCCTCAGGGAGTATCCATTCCAGTGAGTGAGAAGGAAAGATGAATCAAATGACCAGGTTTTATAAATGTAAAATCACAACAGTGAGAAATGCTGCAAACGAGTACACACGGTCTCATGAACACACACAAAAAAGAGGTTTGACCTGGGGGCAAGGTCAGGGAAAACTTCCTTGCGGAAGTGGTGCTTGAGCTGAGATCTAAGGGATGAGTGACCCTGACCAGGCAGAGAGGAACTGGGAAGGATACACTGTGGAGTTTGATATCAATCTCTAGTTTTGTCTCATGAAGAAACTGATGAAGAGAAACTTTTTCCCTGTGGCCTAAGGAACAGTTCTCAACCAGACTGAATTCTTGGCTTTTCTTCCTGAGAGTCTGTCAGGAGCCCAGCACAGTCTTTTCCTGTAACTTCAGTGCCAAGTGAGGAGAGTCTCTTGTGTTTCAGGGATTTTCATGCTCTTGTTTCTGCTTAGGGTTTTTAGTACGCCCAGGACTCCTTTGGATATACATTTTATCCTTGTTTTAAGATGCAATATATGAAATATGTGAAAATGGGAACTTCTGTATAATTACTTCACCAAAAATGTGGTAAAAATTTTTGCAACATATTAAAAATAATATAAGATAAAGAATGCTTACAAATCAGTCAAAAAAATACAACAAATAAGATGGACAAAGGACAAAAACAGGCAATTCAGAGAAGACAAAAACAAATGACAAAAGCACATGAAGCTCAGCGGTGATGAAAAAAATAATAACGTCTGTTGATTTTGTTTAGCTTCTCTTATTGAGAAAGATGATAAAGAGCAGGATGTGTCTCTAAGAAAACAGGCATTCTACTATACAGCTAGGTAGAAGGGTTGCTTGGGGTCATCTTTCCTCTAGTGCCATATTCAAGAGGCACTAGAAGACAGAGTATATGCCCACTAACCCAGTATTTTAATTCTTGGAATTTATCCTGGGGAACTCACCAGACAAGTGGTTCAAACAAATGTATAAATTTTGGGCTATGATACTTATAAAATGCCTACTTAAATATCCAACAACACAAGATTGCTTAAAAATTATGTTAATATACATAAAGATATTGTAAGGGGGATGCCTGGGTGGCTCAGTCGTTAAGCGTCTGCCTTCGGCTCAGGTCATGATCCCAGAGTCCTGGGATCGAGGCCCGCATCTGGCCCCCTGCTCGGCGGGAAGCCTGCTTCTCCCTCTCCCACTCCCCCTGCTTGTGTTCCCTCTCTCGCTGTGTCTCTCTCTGTCAAATAAATAAAATCTTTTAAAAAATTTTTTAAAAAATATTGTAAGGTATGATATATATGGGCCCTTATTCATAGAGGAAGATATTCACAGCATTCTGATAAATGAAAAGAAAAACAGAGTATGAAGCAGTATGAATGATATGATCTGGTATTTTTGGTAAAAATTTCTGCACGCATATGCAGTATATGAGTGTCCTTACACTGGAAAAAGTCTGGAACATATAAAGAAGTTTTAACACATAATGGTGTGATTATGTATAATTCCCTTTCTTTTTATTAATCTAGATTTTCTGGTTTTAATACCAGTTTCCTCTCATACTTAAGAAATAAACATTCCTTTTAAAATAATTTATTCTCATTTAGAAAAATTCAGAAAAATGTTTTTTTAAAAGAAAAACAATGAAAAACATTACCCATTGCATTACCATCCAAAATCAACTGCATTAATGTTGTGAAGTGTTTACCTTCAATTTTTTTAAAGTACAACTTTTTTGAAATATTGTTTTGATCATATTTAATTGAGCTTCTAAGACCAGTGTTAAACCTTGCCTGAGGGACAAGCTTTTACAGACGATTTTCTGGTATCCAATTACAGGGTTTTTCCATAATAGGGGGATAACAGTTTATAATTAGGTTGACTGAATTTAAGCTTTACCCAGATACCCTTGTGAGACACCACCTCTCCTCATTCTTGGTGTATCTAATTTACTCAGATGCGGGTTTTTTTAAGGCCGACAATTCTCCTTAAAAATTTTGGCTGAACTAGGTGAAGTGCCTATAAACAATCACACAAGATAGTCCTGCAAATAACCAGAATGAGCATTAAGAAGAAGATTATTACCCATCACCTATTAAGGAGACCACTTATGATGAGCACTGGGTGTTGTATGGAAGTGATGAATTATGCAATTCTACACCTGAAACTAATACTCCACTATATGTTACCTAACTGGAATTTAAATAAAAACTTGGGGGGAAAAATAAATAAAAGCTAAAAAAAATGAATAAGATTATTAGTGGTTTTATTAAAGAAACAAAGTAACGGTGGCTAAGAAGAGGGACTCTGGAGCCAGAGTACCTGGGTTCAAATCTTAGCTCTGCCACTTTCTAGCTATGTAACCTAAGAATAATTATCTAGCTTTCTGTGCCTTCATTTTCTCTTCGTCAAAATTGGAAAAATAAAAGCATCCATCTCATACATTGTTAGAAGCATTAAATGAGTTGTTACAGGCAAAACACTTACAATAATGTGTGATACAAATAAATGTTAGTTTCTATTGTTACTTAGAAACCATACCGACTTGGAAATGATGCCAGATGCACAACGGTTGAAGGGTGTAGGAATGCGCCCTGTGATTGCACCAGCACAATACACTGAACAGACACGTGCCCTGCATGCTAGAAGGTGTTCCACACATCCCATCTTACCAGGCCTTACAGTAAGTGTTGTTTCTATTTTCAGGATTATGAAACTGGAGTTCCTAAAGTTAAGTAACTTCCCAAAGTCACAAAACAGTTAAAAAGAGACGGAACAAGGATCACTGAGAGGACAGGCGCCCCCTTTTAGTTGTTAATTTCTGGACTAGGAAAATCTAAAAGGCAGAAATAAAGATGGCATAATTTTTTTTTCATATTTTCCCCTCTTCCTTCGATGGCAGAGAGTTTCTCTTCATTAATTCAACAACATTTATGGAACACCGGCCGTGTGCCAGGCACTGTTTTAAGAACAGAAGCTACCCTGTCCTCTAAGCGTTTATTTCCTAGATGGAGAGATGGGCGATGAGGAGTATGCCAGTTATTAAGCTACTGTCTCTCACCTCCAAACCACCCTTCTATACACAGCGTTGCGATGGTGAGGCACAAACTCGCCCCTCCTTAACCAGCCCCGGGTACCTGTCGTCGAGTGCCTTAGCCAGGGTGGAATGAGGCTCCTGCTCAGCCCTGAAGATCCAGGGAGCACCCGCTCACCCTCACCCCACCCCAACTCCCTCTTGATTTTCCCGAAGCTAGAAGCTGGAAGCCATAGGAGCCCTAGGAGAGAGTGAGCACAGAGATGGAAGGAGCACAACTGACAGGAATTCCCGCAGGTAGGGGGGCAGGTAGGGGCTGAAGGGGTGTGCTTTGCCCGCTGTTTCCCTGTAGAGCTTTGCCAACAGGGGGCGCTACAGGGAGGGCGGAAGGCTAGAGGAGAAAGGAGATGCTTCCTGAGAGCCTACCTGCTGTTCGAACTCTGAGCATCACTCTAGAACGGCGAGTAGCAGCGCCTTCCATAGCAGCAGGTGAATCCAGCTTGCAGTTTCAACGAATGGAGACCCAGCTTCATCATGTTCCACCTCAAAACGTCAGCGTCGACTGGCTGGGCTGCCTTTTCAGAGATCTGAGCTTCAAGAAGGCCCGAAGGTACTAAGTTTAATCAATTTCCTCCCTTTGTGCTCCCACCCCCAGGGGTGATAGGTGCTTCCAGCAGTTAGTACCTCTGTGAGACCGGAGAGTTCTCTTTACTTAGCCTTTCAGTTAGTAAATTGACAATGTAGTATTTTGATAAGTAAATGTATCGTTAGTTACCTAGTTATTGTCCCATGTTGAACAACTACTATTTCTAGTTTTTTACTTCTACACATGGCTGCCATGAAGATTAAGTAATAAGCTTTTTCGTCTTCTTTTTTTTTTTAAGATTTTATTTTATTTTATTTTATTTATTTATTTATTTATTTATTTATTTATTTATTTTTGACAGAGAGCTAGAGAGCATAAGTAGGCAGAGTGGGCAGGCAGAGGGAGAGGGAGAAGCAGACTCCCCGCCGAGCAGGGAGCCCGATGCGGGACTCGACCCCGGGACTCCAGGATCATGACCTGAGCCGAAGGCAGTCGCTTAACCAACTGAGCCAGCCAGGCGCCCCAGCTTTTTCTTCTTTTTCAGGATTTAGGATTATTTCTTTAAGAGAGATTTCCAGTAATTGAATTACTATGTTAAAGAGTATGGCTGTTTTAATACTCTCCATGTATATTAATACATACTCACATATGGCTAAAAAATGCATTTATGTGTGTATGTATCTTTCCAAAACATTTTGCCAATTATTCTTCTCCAAGAAATGAAAGACAATGTTTGTATCATTTTTCCTAACCGGTTCTCGACAAATTATATATATCTTGTTTTTGTTTAATATACTTGTGCTGTATTACTTGTGTGGTCTAGCATGTTTTCACATGTTATTGCATAAATTTTGAGATGTGAGTTAATGTTTTTTTAATAATTTACTGTTCTTCTGAATGCTTGATGTCAGTAGGCTAATGGATTTTATATTTTAAGTCATGCCCACGATAGGAGTGAGTAAGACTCTGGAAAGATGATTTGATTCCTTTTAGCTCTCAGAATTCCAGGAAACAATAGTCATAATTTAAACAGTTCCTTAATGGTCCCAAGATACTCTCAGCAAGTGATCCCTAAAGAGGAATAGTATAGGTTTTTAATAAATGATATAGAAATTATAGCCATTTATTTTCTCCTGAAAATAATACAAGCTTTTATTGGATAACAAACAGTACGGCAAACTCCTTAATAGAGAAAATTGCATTTAACCAAATTTTCTACTCTTTACCAGACTTCTTAGTAAATTGCCAGCACTCGGTGATTACTAATAATTTCACATTTTTGAGTTCTAGTTCATTGTTTTAGTGCCATCATACAGTCTTTTGAATGAGGGTAGATGATTTTCCATTTTCAACGGTCACCCTCACTAAACTCAATTTGTTTTCTTTTAATCAGAGGATTAAGTTAATCAGTGATCCTTCTTAATGCCTTACTGGGGTATTGTTTACATGTGGGGTGATAGTTTGGAGGATTAAATAGATACTGTCATTAAAAAGAGGAAAATCCTATGTTCCTTTATGGATAAGTAGCAAAAATAGCAAATTGTAAGCCCAATCCATTCTCCCTTTCTCCTTTAGTAACTAGTCTCTAGTTCTACCCCTGTAGTGATGAGCTGGCCAAGAGCCTAGCTTTCCCATGCCTCTGGCAACTAGGATGACCTGTCAGATACAGGTGGAAGACATTGGGTGGGACTTCTGGAAAAACCTGTTGGCCTTTCTTTCTCTTTGCCCTGTATCCTAACAGAAATGGTGATATGATGGCTGGAGTTCCAGAAACCACCCTGTGGCCTTGAAAATGGAAAACATGGGCTGAGTACGGCAGAACAGAAAGAAAGAGCATAGTTCCCTGATATATAGTATGTACACAATATATATACAATATGTGTAATGTGCTTTCCTCAACCACATTGAGCTTCCTAGCTTCAGATTACTCTAACATGAGACAGAGCTATGTGTCTTTTGTTTAGACTATTGTCCCTAGTATTAAAATATAATTCCTTCTTTTTTTTAGAGAGAGAGAGTGAGAGAGTACTTGCGAGCGAGTGGGGTGTGGGGGCCAAAGGGAGAGGAAGAGAATCTTAAGCAGACTCCACACTGAGTGCAGAGTCTGATGCAGGGCTTGATCTCACGACCCTGAGGTCATGACCCTGAGATCATGGCCTGAGCCAAACCAAGAGTCAGACACAACTGACTGAGCCACCCAAGCACTCTAGTAAAATATAATTCTTAATAGCATCTCTTTGATGATGAAATACTGACATCACATGTAAACAGTTAAATTAGATTTATTATTACTTCTCCTCCTACTTTAATTGGTTTACAATGATAAATTTGAATACATTTATTTTATTGTACAAATATCTGATAGTTTATTAAAAATATAACTCTTAAATATTCTCAGTTATTTGTATCTTTGGATTTTACCTTAACATCATTGGATAACACCTGCAAAATCAATCATCAAACATTTGTGAAGTGCAGATAAGAGGAATATCTACTTTGTAAGACAATATATATGTAAGCACTCAGTAAATATTAAAAGAACATAAATATTGGCTGCTATCCAACCAGATAGATCCCACGAAGCCAAGGTTAAATCATGATAGAAAAACTAATTACATTAAAGATAAACTAGTAAAAATAATTCTAAGATAAAAAGTAAATATTTCTTATATGTTTAGAAACACAGTATTTCAAATAAATGCCCTTATGTTATTTTTTTTTACAACCCTACCATTAGATGTGAAGAACTTGTTTTTATCATCAGAGGTATAAGTATTTTGTAAAGATTAGACAATCAGTACTGGCTCATTTTAAGAAAAGTCTCTGTGAAAATATAGCTTATGTAGTTTCATACGACTACATGCTGTGCTGTGAAAACAGCAGGGAAGTTTTATAAAAAGTAACTTCACTCACATTTTCCAATATAAAAAAAAAAAGTTTGGTTTCACTAACGTCAACCTGTACTCCAGCTGTTTGTTCATATTTTTGTGTGACTCTGCATTTTCCTTGGAGATTAAGATGGTCTCATAAAGAAATCACCCTTCCCAAAATAGACAATTTGTCTTTCAATACGTTGCATAATATATGCTCTAAAGGAAGTAAGGGAGCATGAGCCATAGGAAAAGACAGCCCTGCAAAGTGTAGGACCCAAGATTTGCAGGGGAGAAGCTGAAGGTAGGAAATGAACCTGTATGCATTTATATTCAGAATTATTTTTTTTCTTTTTTTTTTAAGATTTATTTATTCATTTGAGAGAGCGAGAATGAGAGAGAGTATATGAGAGGGGGGAGGGTCAGAGGGAGAAGCAGGCTCCCTGCCGAGCAGGGAGCCCGATGCGGGACTCGATCCCGGGACTCCAGGATCATGACCTGAGCTGAAGGCAGCCGCTTAACCAACTGAGCCACCCAGGCGCCCTATATTGAGAATTATTTAAAGCAGTTTGTATTTTGTAAAAAAAAAAAAAAAAATCCAGCATTGTTTTGAGAATTATCAAAACCCCTCCACACACACACACATACATACCAACTCACACATTCACTAACTCACTCACGAGATCTATGAGCCTAGTTCATTGCATAGAACACCAAATTTTGCATGATCCATAAATCTGGGCATTCATTCTTTGCACTGAATCTAAAGATTTTGTTGTGCTTAATAAGTTCCATTGATACGTCAGTAGAGTTACTTCATTTATTTCTCTCTCTGTCCCATTTTTAAATTACTTATATCAACTAATTTAAAATCTACCCTGTAAAAAGCCTCTGCAGACACAAAGTGAATAAAACCTAACTTCCAGGAGATTACAGTCTACTGAGAGAAGGTACACATATCCAGTCACCAGCCTGGTATAAGCAAAGCTCAAAGGATTGGTAGTTCAGAATCAAGAGAAACAACCAGGCAGATGTGCTGAATTGTTGCCTAGACTCTTGTTGTACCTTTGTGGCTGACCCTCCCATCAGACTCTATCAATCTGTTCATTCCTAAAAGAATGCAGCTTTTACAGAGATCCCAGAAGTAGAGTTTGGACAATGAAAAAAGGGGACATGTTACTATATTTTAGAAATGAGAAAATTGATAGACATTTTGTTAAATAATTATTCTCTTTAGACCTTTAAATAACTATGCTAAATATAAAATACACATTTGTATTTTGTGACTTAGAGGACTTTGGATTTTTACATGAGTGCTTACTTTAAGTGAGACTTTATCATGTCTCATTCCCAAGGAATTTTCTAGAGGAATGCATATTTAATTTATTATAAACTCCTTTGAAATAAAAACCTAGAATTTAACATATATGTTTGTCCACAGGCAAGATTTCAAGACCGTAACTTTTGTCTTACATAAAATATATACATTCCCATCCTGGGTCTATATAACAAAGACCAGATTAAGAATGGCCCATTTGGTTTCTATGGTGTGAAAAACCAAATTAGGTAAGGAGAGATTTTGCAAAGATTCATAGGTAAGAAAATTAGAACCACAAGTCAAGTGAAAAACTGTTGATAAAGTTGACATGTGTAGAAATCTTCATTATCTAAGTGACTTAAGGAACTCTGAATGAGTCAAATTTATCTAAATAAGTCAACTTTAGATATAGGACCATGATTGGATCAAAGAAATAGGGATATAATTATAAATAATATAGGACTTTTATCCTCTAGCTACCTGTAATATACTGTAATATATAATTAATTTTTAAAAATCACTATAACACTGGGGTTGAAAATGGACCTACAGTAAGAACGGATGAAGAGATAGCAGTTAGACTATTGGATGTTTTCAGATGAGAATTGGCCACAGCTATGTTACAGGGTATTCACTAATTCGGAAAAGATTTATTAAATGTCAAATATGTGCAAGGCACTGTTCTTTAACTGGGGATTTAGCCAGAAACAAAATAAGTGCAAGTTTCTGTGCCCTGAAACTAACAATCTATTGGACAAGATACGCAATAAGGTAAGTATGGAAAATATGTAGTATTTTACAGTATCATAAGTACATAAGGGAAAAATAAACCAGGGGAGGGAAATTTGAAATGCCATGATGAGCTGAAATTTTAGGTGGAACATCCAAGGAAAGCCTCCCCGAGAAAGTAGCTTTTGAGAGGATGGAAATGAGGGAGCTAGCCTTGAAGGTTTCAGGGAGACAATTTCATGCAGAGTGAGCCCCAAAGGTGAAGACTGTGGAATGAGAACATTCCTAGTGTGATCAAGAATGAGCAGCAAGTCTGTATGGTAAGAACAGAAGGAGTAGGGGAGATGAGCAGGAGATAAAAATGGCAGGTTAACAAGCGGTTAGATTATGCAGAACCTAGAGATCATTGCACATCTTTGGTATTTACTCTGGGTGAGATGGGAAGCCCATGTCAGCTATTTACCTATTTTCTCTTGATTCTAAAGGCAACCTTCAATACTCTTCTCTATGATGCTGGAGCTGGGGCTCTGTAAATTACATTTCCCAATTAGTCAGATGGCTTCCTGTTAACTTTTGCCAATAGAAGGCCGTAAAAGAGATTGTAAGGCAACGGGAAAAGAGAAGAGACACACTCTTCTGTTTTTCCTGTCTCTCTTTATATTGGTCAACAGCAGCTCCTGGTTTCAACCTTCACATTCTGTGAGCACTTCCAGGACCAGCCCTGTTTCAGCAGCAGCGATTTGGGACCCCTCAGATTCTGAGGTCTGAGGACCAATGCATTAGGGTTCCTCCTTTAACCTTCTAAGTCCTGATCATTTCCTCACCTATCCCCAATTCCTAGGACGTAGGGATGGAAGTTCCCTCCTGAGTTATTAATATCTGGGTTACTGCAATGTTCTTGGTAATACCTATGTTACCAACTCTCTGTTTAAATGTCCTCTGTTAAAAATGCTTAATGTAGTTTCTGTTTTCTTGATGATTACAGTGTCAGGTAACAAGAATAATCCCAGGAAAGCCTCAAAGATGGGATTATAGAATTGTTTGAGATATGTCCTTGACCTTGAATTTAATTAATGCTAAGTTCCTTGTCAGTAGAAAATGGGATACTGATATTGCCATGGCATGCACTATTTAATTAAATTACCACCTGCAGTTACTTGGGATAAAGTGCTTATTGAAATAAATATCTTAGGGGACCAAGTGGCTGCTGCAGTTCACTGATACAGTGGTAATGATAACTACGATGACTGTGGGGTAGAATGACTATTTCTGACTGCACTGGGGACCATACAGAAGGAAAATGACATGCTCAGGGGTTTAACAGTCTCAGAGCTTCTCCTTGTGATCCTAAAGAATCTCTTATTTTTGTATGAATGCATATTTTTTAAATTTGTACACAGCAGGGCAGATATGGCTAAAAATTAAGTTCAACATTTAAATATTTGGGTTAGATATAGAATTACAATGGAAGGTCTATTTGCAGACTTTCCAAGTGTCCTAAGTGAAAATTAGGACACTGATTGGGAAGGAGTAGAGACATCGAGGTGGACACAGATAAAGCTAAACTCTTGAATCTACTCTGAGCCTTCCTTTCAGTGAGAGGCTTCTTCTCCTCAAGATCTACCATTCCTATTCTGTCTAGTCCTACAGCTAGAGAAATCTGAGCACCTTCTAATAGAGACAAGTGAAAAACTCAACCAAGGAAGAAACAGGTTATACCCCAAAAGAATTAAAATATTTTCCTAAATTATACTGGCAAGAACCTAGGGGTTATATGTGAGAATATGTTATAAGGGTGTTAAAACAAGGTAGATAAAATGTGACACTGATTCAGGACAAAGTAATCAACATAGGTGTTCTTATCTCAGATTTAATATAGTAGATTGACCAGAGGAAAGTCGTCCTAACAGTTTTCTTGGTT